CCCCCACACAAACCACCAAAAAAAGCACACAGGTGAACACCTCATCCACAAAGACGTATACCAATGTGGAATTTCCTAGTTCCTTTTAAGCAAAGGCAAGTTATAAGCACCTCGATGCTATGCAATTAAAAACAACAACAACAACAACAACAACAACAACCCAGTAAAATCCCACAAGTGGGGTCTGGGAAGGGTAGTATGTACGCAGACCTTACCCCTACCCCGAAGGAGTAGGGAGGCTGTTTCCGGAAGACCCTCGGCTCAAGATAAGAAGAAAAACAAAAAGGAGAGAATATTAGTTTCACCACAGAAATCATAGGAAAAATAGGAACATAAAATGCAGAAGGTAAAATGCAAAACAAAAACAAAAATGATGGCTAGTAAATAGGTCCTGCACCGAAAAGAGAAAATAGTAAGACACAACAATGCCCCTAGCTATCTCAGACAAAAACTCTACCAGACTAGGCTCACAACAGTACAAGGTAACGCAAGACTCAACTACCTCCTAGCCTACAACCGTAATACTCGACCTCCACAACTTCCTATCAAGTGTCATGTCCTCCGAAATCTGAAGCCTCGTCATATCCTGCCTTATCACTTCTCCCCAATACTTCTTAGGCCGCCCTCTACCTCTTCTCGTGCCCTCCACAACCAGTCGCTCACACCTCCTTACTGGAGCATCTGGGCTTCTTCTCTGTACATGTCCGAACCATCTGAGCCTCGCTTCCCGCATCTTGTCATCAATGGGAGCCACGTGCACCTTCACCCGAATATCATCATTTCTAATCTTGTCCATCCTAGTGTGCCCGCACATCCACCTCAACATCCTTATTTCTGCTACTTTCATCTTTTGGATATGTGAGTTCTTAACAGGCCAACACTCAGCCCCATACATCATGGCCGGTCTAACCACCGCTTTATAGAACTTACCTTTGAGTATCGTTGGCACTCTCTTGTCACACAAAACTCCGGATGCTAACCTCCACTTCATCCAACCTACCCCAATACGGTGTGCGACATCCTCATCGATCTACCCTCCCCCGTGGATAACCAACCCAAGGTACTTGAAGCTGCCTCTACTTGGGATAACCTGTGATTCAAGCCTCACATCCACGCCCACTTCCCCCGGCTCAGTGCTGAACTTACACTCCAGGTATTCCGGCTTAGTTCTGCTCAACTTGAAACCTTTAGACTCAAGAGTCTGTCTCCAAACTTCTAGTCTCTCGTTAACACCGGCTCGTGACTCATCGATCAGAACTATGTCATCGGCAAATAACATGCACCATGGCACCTCCCCTTGAATATGGTTTGTTAATGCATCCATCACCAGGGCGAATGAGCGCAGAGCCTTGGTGTAACCCCATTTCAACCGGAAAATGCTCAGGGTCGCCTCCTACTGTCCTAACCCGAGTCTTAGCCCCATCATACATGTTATGCAATTAAAAACACTATTTATAATATTAGAAGCTGAGTTTCATTTTAAAGGTGATAACTGCATATTCCCAAACTATCATGCCTGATCACTTGACCATGTTAGTGGCAGCCTCAGAACTTCAGTTTACACAGCCAATAAGATGCTTGAGAAGTTCATAAAACTATCCAACCAAGTGACCATGGTACTCGGGGCTCTTTTCCCCCGGATACTTTGGCTGCCCATAACTACAAAATTCCAGCAAGGGTGAAAGCCGAAGTGCTTGGAAATTGTCTTTATGTAGGAAGAGGCCAAACAAGTAAATTCTGTTCCAGTTCGATTTCAATTTTTCAGAACATTTTCTATTTTGCAAAAAAAAAAAAAAGGTGATGAAAGAACTCAAGAAACCAGTGGATCAATAGTGGACACAGCCTATAAGACAATGGATGAAAGCAAATCCAAAATTGGAAAGACAGCAGTTGGAACAAGGCTACAATGCCAAAAATACATAAGGAACAAGGCTGCAATGCCAAAAATACATATTGCTTATATTAAGGATTTTCTTAAAGTAAAGTCAGCTAGAATATAAGAACATATACAGTATGCATCTCGTAATTAACAGTTAGGACCCAACTCTAAATCTGTTAGCTGCTAGGTCTCAGGCATTTGATCTGAAAGTCATATTAAATTGTGTCCGTAAGATACAAAAAGTTAGTGAGCTACTATTAGTTATCAAAGCTTTCACCCTACTTCTGTTACCTTAGCCTGGAAAGCAGCCTAGAAAACTAGGCCTCCTTCTATCCCGGTATTGAGCCAAGCCCGGCACCCCTGATTGTGCTACGGATTCAGTTTCCCAAGAACAATCAAACAGTTCGTAACTCTAATTGCGTGACGTGATCGGCTGTTAGGATGATGGGGATGATAGAGAGTCCTCTAGCCTGGTCCCGTCCTTGTGTCATTGTATTCTGATTGTTCTTACCGAGCTGGCGAATCTATAGTCTTTCATTCTGTGGTTAGGCCTCTTTCTTTGTTGCCTCTTTGTTTCATAAGGATCGAAGAAATACTTCATGAATAAGTATTTCCAAAAATGCTACCAGAACATAGGGCATCCTTGAGAGTAGTTTTTGGCCAAACCACTTCCTCAAGATTGTTCTGGGACTTGAAGAATTTTTCAGACACTAAGTTCTGCTTGGCATCTAATAAGTGGTTTTAATTTTACACAGGCAAATCACGGATGCAGCACTGATAGCCACTGAAGTACTACTGGAGGATTAGAAGTGGAGAACCTGGTGTGATGTGCAAGGCTGCAAGCTTGACATAGAAATGGCATTTGACCAGCTCAGTTGGTCCTATCTCATCTCTATTCTTAGGAAAATGGGATTTGGAGACAGATGGATCAAAATTAGCATCTCAACCGTGAAATATCCGGTGATAGTCATCAGAGGTCCAGTATGTTTCTTCTCACCTCAGAGAGGGGCCAGACAAGGAGACCCCTCTCCCCCTTTTTGTTCATTATAGAAACGGAAGATTTGAGCAAAAGTTGGAAAAGGCTAGGCAAATGCAGTGGATTCAGGGTTTCAATGTGAGTATTGATCCTGGGGATTCAATCAGTGTCACACATGCTAAATGTTGATGATACACTTATCTTCTACGAGGCTATAACATCACAAATGTTGTATTTGAATTTAACTCTTCTCCTCTTTTAAGCTTTATCAGGTTTACATATCGACATGCTGAAAAGCATCATGTATCCCGTCAACAATGTGCCTAATTAGATCTGTCAAACATCATGGGTTGCACAATTGGGTCATTCCCTACCACCTATCTAGGTCTACCTCTTGGAGCAAATGCAAGAATGTTGAAATCTGGAATGAGATCATTGGGAAGTTTGAAAAGAGACTGGCAGCTTTGCAGATGCAGTACTTATCCAAGGGAGAGAAGAGATTAACTTTCATTAACAGCATCCTTGATAGCATCGCCACTTACTACATGTCATTGTTCCCCATTTCTAGCAAGGTTCATAAGCAGCTAGACAAGATCAGGAGGAACTTCCTTTGGCAAGGAAACAACAGCTCTCACAAGTAACATCTTATTAGTTGGTCCAAAATCATACAAGAAAAAAAACAATGGGGGATTGGGTATTAGAGACTTGACCATACACAACAAAAGTCTGCTCATGAGTGGCTATGGAGGTTTCGTTTAGATGAACCAAGTCTCTGCAAGAAAGTAATTGTTACTAAACATAGTAGAAAGGACAACTGGAGAACAAAAATATCCACTACATCTCATGGGGTTGATCCTTGGCAACTTTTCAGCAAGCTCGAAAATGAATTATCTGAGCAGGTATCCTTCAAAGCAGGAAATGGTTTAAACATTAGCTTCTGGAAGGACAAATGATTAAACAATACTCCACTCATGGAGGTATACCCAAATTTGTTTCAGATTGCCTAAGGCAAGAACTCCTCCATTGCTCAAAACAGATGCGGGTACCACTGGAATGTATTATTCAGAAGATATGCACAGGATTGGGATAGTCTATTGGAATTGCTAGTGT